CTGATTTCTTCCCTTTTAGCACAAGGCACCAAACTAAGCACTTTCCGTTGTCCTCTCCACTGACTGAGGAGCGCTTTTTTCCTGTATCTTCTTCCATGTTTCCCCTAACTTCTAAGTTCATCTCTGATCAATGATGTAGACTTCAAAAAGAAAATACCACACCTCTCTCTTATTTGTCTTATGTCCTTTCTGATGTTCTCTCCTTGAGCTAATACTTTTTATCCAGTGGCCTTTGTAAAAAAAAAAAGATAACATTGGTTTAAGAAAAGTGTGGATTTGCACTCCACACTCCTTTCTTTCTGCCCTGCTATGCAGCTTCCAGAAATATAAACAGATACTAGGGTCAGACCCAGCTATAGGTCACCTCCTCTCTTCTCAGTGGGCAGCCATATCACAGTGCCTTAGGTTAATACTTACAGCTGGAGAATGCTAGGTATGGCATGCAGTCATGCATAATGCAGTACCTTTCCGAAGAAACATTCCCCTACCATTTTTTTGTCCAACAAAAACTATATTACAATATGTTTTTTCTTTACCCTTCAGGTGGTATGGTCAGGTTTCCACACAGTTATAAAATTAGATGAGAGGACTCAAAGCAAGAGGAGTGGAGGAAAAAGTAACGTCTGAGTTGGCTTTGACTGGGATAAAACAGACACCACCACCTGCAGGGATTACCTGACCCAAATCCTTTTAGGTTTCCAAACTTATTTACAAATAAACCAGTTTTTAGTACTGAGGGATTTTTTACCTGTGGATGGTTCTTCAGCTGGTGTAAACCAGGGTAAATTCCATTGACTTCGCATGAGCAGAGGAGCTGGCCCGCTGAGTTTTAGTTTTACCCGGGCTTCCCGGCTGTTGCTAGTTCTTTAATATTATGAAGTATTAATTCAAACACTAAGGGCCAGATACTCCCAAGTTGCTACACTGAATAGAAGAGCAAAGGGGGACAAAAAAGCCCCTTGAAATGTAGCCGACATGGCGAAGCAATGACACTGCAGCATGTTGTCCTGTGGCTCCAGAGCCCCTCTGTATGAGAAAGTCAAAGTCATGGCTGTGAATCTGGAGGGGGGTAATGCTAGGTCAGCACCAAATTATGGTGAGATGGTATGAAATCTCAGTTCAGTTACTGCTAATTTGTGTAATCTGGGGCACAAATGGTACCTGCAAAATTAAAGGTGGGCCTAGATCTGAGTGGTTGCACCACCAACTACTCATTTTGCATCCACGCACAAAGATGAAGGATGGTCATGTAGTTAAAGGCACTGCACAAGTACTCAGGAAATCAGTCTTCTCTTCTCGGCTTTGCAACAGATTTCCTGTGTGATCTGGGGAAATCACATGCTGGGCTATTTGCAGAAGATGGGAAAGGCTATTATGGGATTCTCAGAAAACAAAGGGACTTTTAAGAGCAGAATATGGATGGTACCTATACTTTTAAAATATTTTCACTCTTCTCCCTCCAAATTGGGTAGGCACGCAGTCTAATCCTGAGTTCTCAGGTCACTGGGATTTTCAAAAAGCATAGTCTAGTGCTGTAGTTTCTGTGCATTACCAGGCTGCCAACTTCAGAATTGCCACTTCCTACCACCAACGGAAGGACACTTCACTGCTTCTCTCCTGTGTCACCTGTGATATAGTAAGGCATTACAAAAAGCACATCTGTCCGTGAAGAGACAGAAAAAGCCCACTCCTTTAAAAAAATAAATATATATCTTATACTTACAGCAGCTTTCTGTGCTGACGTTGCAAAAAGGGAATATGAAAACAGGAAGTTTCCTAAATACACAAGATCCTAAGCAATACCTTTGTGTGTCATGACGCTTCAAAGACTGCTTGTGTCGGGACAAACCGTTCCAGCCACCATGCTAAGTTCACATCTCACTCTCTCTGTCCTAGTATGATTTGTAAAAGCTGACAACTTGGAGACTGTCACCTTCCTGTGGGCACAGAGACCCAGGCAGGCAAATATCAGGAAACCACATAAATAGGACAGATACCTGAATGTCCCAGAGGCCATACATGAGTACTATGCTCCTGGGGGAATTTTGCACAACTACGCATGTGCAGAATTCATGTCCCCCACAGATTTCTTTGCTTCCCTGCAGAAAAATGACTTTCTGAAGGGAAAACAAAGGTACGCCGCAAAAGTGGTCATGTGCTCCTCCCCAGCAATGCAGATGTGTCATTTTGGGCACCTGGAGCAGCTGGTGGAGAGGTAAATCACTGCAGGGGAAAAAGGCAGGGCTGAGGATGCCCCGTCTGGTGGCTCCCACCCTGTACCAGGCTCAGATGCTAGTCCTGGCTGGGGCGGATGGGACTTGCTCTTCCCCTAAAAAGAGCAGCCAGGCCCAGGTCAGACCCACCCCCAGAAACCTCCCTGGTTTCACCAGAGAGCTCTGCACACACACCTCCCACCCCCATCACTCCTCAGCCATGAGGGAAAGAATCATAATATGGGGAGCTGCTCCCCTATGTATCCGGTCCCTACCACACCCAAATCCCCCCCCACTGAGGTCCCCACACTTGAACCCCCACCCCATTGAGTCTCACTTCCTGCTGTGGAAACCCCCCCCCCAAACCCCATCCCCCTTCAACCAGACCCGCACTCCAACCCCCACCCTGACGAGCCCTCTGCACCCAGACCCCCAACCAGCAGCATCTGGACCCCCATTCACCATGCCCCATTCCCCCAGCACCCCTATCTGCCCCCACTAATCCCCTACACCCAGACCCTCCTGCTGAGCCCCAAACACTTTCACCTGGACACCCCCCTGCCCCCGAGTCCCCTTGCCCCTGAACCTGGAATCCCCCAACGAGCCCCAATGCATCCAGATACCCCCATCCTGCACCCAAACCCCACACTGAGCCACCCACACCCCGACTGCCCCACATGGAACCCTCTCACCCCACACCTGGATCCCTTCCACACACTTGGATCTGGCAGGCTTGGCCTGCCTATCCACACCTGGTGCGGAAGGGCAGGGCCCCAAAGGCGTTTCCGGGGCAGACCTGGATCTTGCACTGTATCAGGGTTGGGTGAAGCCCCACCACTAAGCCCATGTCCTGGGCGGAGCGGGGGGGCTCCAGCATGGCTGTTGGGAGCACAGACCACTGGCTGCACAGAGGTGGGAGATCACCCTTCAGCTTCCCCCGCACCCCTCCCAGGTCTGGGTGAAGGGGGATGAGGTTTATTTATTGACAAATAGAATTTGCAGAAATTTAAAATATTTTGCGCACTTTTTTTCTGGCATAGAATTTCCTGAGTAGTAGTACTAGGTGTGATCACCACCTGTGGGGTTTTCTGTGGAACTGTTCAAAATAATTAGATCAGAGCAGACGAAAAATTAACTAACACCTCAGAGTGAACGGTGACTGATGTACCCCCAATCCCAAGGACTCCCATCACCACCCTTCATTCTGTGACTCACACTGGAAGCATATACTCCAAGAATACTAACTTTGATCACAAATTGTAGCGTAAAGCTTATTTAATGGGCACAATTGCCGGGAAGTTTTAGTTTAGCATTTAGAAAAGTTATTTTTCTCATGGAACCACTCAGAAATTTGGAAATAATAGCTATGAATTGAAGGTACCCAAAGTCTCAATGGCCGACCAGGTGCTGGATGCAGCAGGCGCTGTCCATACTGTGCTTTCTCGCTGGTGGTATGAGAATTAACAAGCATGGAAACCTTCTGTGCCCTGACACTGTACCTTCTAAATACTGTTTCAAAGGGATACACTTTTATAATGGTCAAAAACAAACAGGTTAGTGATGGATATTACCCCTACAGACTCCTCCCCCCCCGATGCCTCAGTCAGTGTCAGAACAACAAGAAGGGCCACATCCTGCCCCTACTTGCTTTCCCCCACCATTTAGCTTGAATGAATCACAGTTTCACATAGAAAAACCTTGGTCTTGCTGCCTGGTTTAAGGTGAGCATATTTTACCAGAAACAAACAGCCCTGTGGGAGTGTTCAGTGTGATAAAAGTGTTTGGAGGGAAGAGAAAACTTGTAGGGGTGTAGATATTATCAAAGATATTCTCTTTGATCACCGAGTGCTAGCAGCATTTTGTTCAGCAAGTCCAAATGTTTGTTCAAACCAGCAACAGAGCTCTGCATAGACTACCTATGCCCATTCAGAATCCTATTGATCTCCAGTTTCTTCCTACTTCAACATCAGACACCTTTTGTTTCGTGTGTTTAACCCCAGAGAAGTTATTGTACAAAGAAATTAAGATTTTCTTGTAGAGACTCCAAAAATTGAAAAAAAAATTCGCAATTAGGGTCACATAATTTGCCAGCAAAATTATCTACCTGCTCAATTAATGTCCTGGTAACACTACTGACTCCAGTGAAGCTCTGAGGGGGTACCAAAGCGCTTTGGGATCCTTCAGAACAAGAAGGCGTTACATGAAATAAGGGCCTGACCGCACTGTAATCTATGGAGTTTTGTATCAACTTCAATGGAAGAAGGATCTGTCCCGCCCCATCGCGTCATACTTTCCAGATGAAGTTTCCTGACAGAATCTTATGAACAGATATTTATCATCCTGTCTGGCAGTGCAGACAAGGAAAGTGTATAATCAATTAAAACTGAATCTGAATTACTTTCCTGCAGTTGTGCAACTCCACATACAGTACGTTTAAGAACAAGTTCTTCTAGTACTTGCTTAAAATTCTGTGGTGGAACACAATCTTCTGCACCCCTCAGTTATTGCTGTTCACAGTAACAATTACGGAGGACATTTACACATATCAGAATTAAAAATTATGTTGAATCTTAGGCTGAGAATCTTATCTGTTTTACTAACTCATTTCCACCAATTTTCATTGGTTTCTTACTGCATATTTTGTTGAAGAAAATGTGGGGTCCTTGAAATCCTGCAGTTACTTTTGGCTGATGAAAGTTTACATTACTAGTGTGGTGCTACTGGACCACGAAGACTCAAAAACAGAAAGGACACATAGTAAAGTAGATTTAAAAACCATCAACACAATGCATTTTTCTCATTTATTCAAATTTTCTGCAGGAAGTAAACACTGAAAGATTTAAAAAAAACTTCACTCTGCAGTATGTACAGGTTTGTGACGTCACATGAAGAAATTAATTTCTAATAAAAAATGAGACCAGTTATATTACTGAAAACACATCACAACAAACTTGGTTGCAGTAAACCCCAGAATTCTTATGTATGGCAATGAGAACTGTCATTCCATTGTTTTAAAATGGTGAAATACTCCTGGTACAATATTTCAATTATTTAAAATAGAGTTCAAAACGTATATGACCGATTACAATTGTGTGAGTTCTTTATGCTTTAAAAGTACTTTTGAGGTTTTTTTCAAGACCCTTTTGATTTGAAGCACATTCTTTCACAAAGCTAAAATACCACAACAGAAGTCATGTCCAGAAATGGAATACTGTTGTGTGTTTTGATGAACTGACCTGACTTTAAGACATTTTTGCCAATGCACAGGGTCCCCCATGCACTTTTCATGCAGAAGGTAATCACAACTTTAAATAAAAGGTATTTTCTATACATTCTTCCAGACTTGCAACTGTATACTTACATGCAAAAGTTTTTAAATCTATGTGATCATATTTACACTTATACATGGAATATACATAACCAAAAACAAGATTAGAAGGTTTTTTCCTTTCCATTAGAATACAAAATATGTATTTTTCATAAGGAAACCACTATTTACATCACCTTTTAAAAACCAATTTCAACATATTATATGTTTAACAAATCAATTTATTTACATATATAAATATATATAATATATACTTACCAGTTTACTCCTCTGTAAAATGCTGCAGAGAACAAACTGGTAATATTTCACAGACGTCAATGAGAGCTGTAATACTCTTTTACTGACAAATTTAGCAGGGAAATTTTAAATCATTCATATCTTTTTTTTTTAATCGTAAATTAAACATTTTAAAGTGTTATAAACAATAGATGGCTAAAACAAGTGAAAAATATGGCTGAATTCCATTTCAATCTTCTGATCTTCATAAACTGTTTCACCTGAAATGATGGTTTAGTCATATCAGTGGAAGCCTCCCTAACCTTTATTCTTTCTATGGTCACATGCACCTTAGCAGTTTATGCTTCTAAAACTGAGGCAGAAGAGAAACCAGAAATAGCAATTCTGCCCTCAGTCCTCCATACCTCATTTCCCATTGAGACTTAGTGCAATTCTCGGCTCTCTCCACCCCAGCTATCATATTCTACATGAATATTCTACACTCTTATCTAGCTGCAGTGCAAGCCCCTCTTCCTCCATGGTGCTGCAAACCTGGATTTTGTTAGTCAGGTCCCACAGCAGTATTCACCAAACCTACAACCCCCTCCTAGACTACTATTCTCATCCATAGTATGATAATTTAAGCTCCTTCCATGCAGGTCTGAAGAATAAGGGTCAAGTTGCAACCCCAACCACTTCCTCTCCCACTTTTGTCCCCCACTCCCACAATTGGGAACCCTCTATTTGAGGAGTGGTAGTGGAGAAAGCCACCAACTGCGTACGCCTTGGAAGAAAGGGTCTACTAGTCATGGGGCTGAGGATTACTAAGGATAGAGCTGTGAGAAAGTGCAGAAACACAGAAACACAAGGCGTCTGTATGGATGATCTTAGTCTATCACTGATCCTTCAGAATCCATTGCTGGTGAAGCAAACCCTGCCCCTGCATGCTGTTTGATGGAACAATTAGGAAGAGAAACCCATAAGAAGAATTTTAGTGATCTCCTCCCCTGTAACTCCTGGGTGAGAGCTAACAGAGAGGGCTATCAGGCCTTTTAGGTTCAGCTAAACCCTTTCCAATTGGTTTCAGCTTGCCAATATGGATAGGGGCAAACCAGGCTTTAAAATTTTCGTTGCTAGGCAAGAATCACATTGGTATTTGGGAAGCTAAAGTGGACAATAGTTTTGCCCCATCCACCAGTGGCTAACCAAACAGTATTAAGTAACCAGTTTAGCAGGAACTGTGTGCCAGAAGAGTGCCCTCACCTCTTTTCTAGGGTCTTACTGATCATTGCAAATTCTGCCATGGGTGAGATTTTTCTATCAACATGTTCTAAAATTATATTATGCTGTATTGTAATTTACTGACGTCTTAGAATTTTAGTTCTCTTTCATTAACCTCATCTAAAAGGAAAGCTAAATTGTTAACGGTTAAAACAGTTAACATTTTAACTTAAATGTCACATAAGCTTTAGAAAACAAGTTTAAAAACTATATATTATAAATAACAATAGACTACCATAGAATAAATACAAGGTAAGCACCCCCTAGGGGATTCTGTCTCACTTCTTGCTAGGGTTGGTTAGAAGACAGCGAAGTCTGATGTTCCCCCATTTTTCATCAGAATTTTGTTATGACAGAAGTTTTCCAATCACATCTACTTCACTCACATTCAAGCTGCCTCCTACTGTGTATGAAGTACGCAGTGCTCCTCAAGTAAACTACATCATTGTGTTTATTCTAGTGACCATCTATTATTCTATGTTTCATAGCTATATACATGTAATTTCAAGAAAAATGATCACTTAAGACTCTAAGAGACATGTTTCATGGATGGAACAAAATGCCGTCTTTTTCTAATATTTATGTCAGGCTGATTCATATAAAAAGATTCAACTCCAATGGAAATAATCTAAAATATAGTTTACCTTGTTAATTTCTATGACATTTGTTAGCAGGCCACTTATTATAAATGCTAACTATGAAAGACAAACAAAAAAACCTTTTTTTTTTTTGTAATTTACTGCATAGCTGAAGTCAGGCTAGTGATAATGAAGTTTAAAATAATATTAGACTCATGTGAAAGTTTTAAAATACATATCTCCTTCATACAGCTCAAGCATATATTAAGCTTTGCCTGGACAACATAAAAATGTATTTTTTATTCCCTCTATAAATCTCTATACCTTGTGGGATGTTTTGTATAGGGCACTGTTAAATATTTGTGTTCCCTAACACACTACAACTTTGATTATCTAGATAGTATCAGGATTTTGTTCATAACATAGGGAATTTTCAATGAAATAAGCAGCTATTGAGAACATGATCCAGTATTGGATAAATTAGGTTCAGCAGTACTTATGGTTATTAATACAGTTACTTTTGTTTTGGAGGAGTGGGGGGAGGTAATTCTTTGCATTTTTCAATGAATGTTTGGTGCTTCTTGGCATTCATGTGTGCCACTAGAAAAGCGTGCTGCTCAGCTTTTCCCACACAACGCTTTCAATGTATCTCAGCTTTGACCTACAACTCTCCACTACTACAGTCCAAGGCTGATTTTGAAAAAATGCTGCCAACATTACAAAATGTTGGGTGGAGGCAGGGGAACAGAGGTGACAGGCCATTTCTGAGATGATATTCACTATGGAATAGAACAAAACCACCAATCTTATTTTCACACACACAGTGACACCTAACAAATTGTTCTGAATCTAGGTTTTCAGGGATGAAAGGCCAGTGTATTAACCACAGATCAGCTGCTCACAGAGTAATAAATATTTGCAGAATATGCAGTTACAGGAAGACCCACCATGTTTTCCACCACTATCTCACAATTTCCACTGAAATATGGAATATGTGTTCTATAAATACCGTAACTGTTCTTTTAACAGGAAGCAACATGGTGCTGAAAAAACATTTTGCTTATGTGTTTCACAAACTGGTATCAATGGCAGTTTTCTGGCCACAGAAGACGGGTCTGTTTATTCCAAAATTATAAGATGCCTTTTTTACCTTCCCTTTATACGTCTGCATTTAAACTCCTAGTGGCACAACTGCATTGTAGACACATCCTACACTGACAGGAGGGGTTCTCCCATCAGTGAGAGGCGGTAGCTAAATTGATGGAAGAATTCTTCCTCTGACTTAGCCCTGTCTACACTGGAGGTCAAGTCATCTTAACTGTGTTGCTCAAAGGGTGTGGAATTGTCACACCCCTGAGACACATAATTGGGTCAACTTAATATTGACTGGTTTCAGAGTAACAGCCGTGTTAGTCTGTATTCGCAAAAAGAAAAGGAGGACTTGTGGCACCTTAGAGACTAACCAATTTATTTGAGCATAAGCGTTCGTGAGCTACAGCTCACTTCATTGGATGCATACTGTGGAAACTGCAGAAGACATTATATACACAGAGACCATGAAACAATACCTCCTCCCACCCCTTTAATATTGACTGTTGACTTGGCTTAAGACAGGGGAAGCAACAGGTAAAAGTGGACCAAAAAAGACTTTTTTTTTTTTTTTTTTAAAAACAGTGTAGATGAAAATCTGCTTTTTATATAAAATGCTAGGAAAACCTAGAAAACAATCTTTAATCATAACCCCTATTTTATATGACTACTACTCCGGGTTCTGCAGAATGTTCTAGTCAAAAGCAAGTGGAAGGGGGGGAAAAAAAAAACCCCACCACACCATGATTCGGGGATAATCACAAAAATAATTAAATAATAAGAACACAAAATTTGGAAGCACTAAAAATTACATTTCAGTGCATTTGATTAATTAAACACTGACAGATTACTAACTCTACTCTACTACTACCCTGGATGGACTGTTCCATTTCTTAAAAAAAATTCTTAAAGTTTCACAAAACGTATTAAACACATATCAAAGGTTACACTGTCTCTATGCTTAAACCGCCAAAAAAAAGGGAATATACTACGTGGAAAGAATGAAATGCAGCAGAATGCATTACCACCACCTTGGCTGTATGCTTACTTTATTTTATACCTAAATACCTGTTGTTCCAAATAAGACTTCAGTCACAGACTATTCATAACTTACTTTGATGCATACAGAATTGTGTCTTGTACAGCTTATAACTCTTACAGTTTCCTTGTGACTATCTACGGTAAAGCAAACATATCTACATGTTTTTAAATATCACCAGAAAAACAAAGTTTCTCAAATGAAAATATGATTCAATAAGACCATGCTTTTCTCAAATCATGCTCAATTTATACAGTATTCCAGTTCATACTTTTTTTTTTTTATTTTATTAACACAGATTCAAACTCATTGACTATAAACTCATTGTGTTGGCTGTATATTTCACTCAGGTTCTTTTTTGATTGTTAGCACCTTTTCCAAGAGTCCATACACTTCTCCATTCACATTGTGTTGATGGGAGCTCTTATTCCCCATATGGCTATTGTAAGGGCTTCTTAAATTATGAAAAGGAATTTTAGGTTCTGTGTCAGGTAATAACTCCTCCTTTATTGTAACAGGAGTTGAATTTTCCGTAAATGAAGGTTCACTCCAAATGTCCTTATCATGTGCTTCTTGGCTATTAACAGAATTGCCTCCTTTCTGTAACATGTAATACAATATTGGATTGGTTTTGGTTAGTCTTGGGGAGTCTTTTTCATATTCACCCTTGTCCATTCCTGTGATAACCCATCTGATGGGGCCTTTTTCACTGGGTATGGGGCAAACACTAAATTGGTCAGATTCAGGTCTAGATACTGTACATCCCAAATGTTCAGAGAAGGGGGAACTAGCAGGACTCTTCACTGCTACTGGGTACTGAAATGTCCTGTGATCTACACAACTGTTTGGTTGCACAGGATTTCCCATTAATGCATTTATTGAGGAAATGCTACATTCGGGTTTATTATTTGCTACATTATTTTTGTTTCCTTTCTTCTTGCCCTCTGTCACTGCATTATTCCTATGCTGTGAAAAATCTCTCTCAGAGTTTTCTGAGAGAAGCAGTTGTTTCAACACATTAAAGCCTTTACTATCTCTAGACCAACTCCTATTTTCACTTTCATTATTCGAACCATGACCTGCAGTATATTTAAATTCAAGATCGCTTCTGTTAAATTTCAGCTCTTGCTGGTTAAGCAAAGGCCGATACAATGTCTCTGCAGGAGACATGTGATTGTTTGAAGCATCAGTCACATTACTTTTTACCTTTTTTAATGGACTTTCTGAAGGCTCAGTATGAAATTTCCTCTTCTTAGGAATGGTGCAAAGGCTCTTTGAGTCTAGAAGTGTCAGTTCACTATTTCTGTGACTTCTGTCCAGATCATCAACGGGGTAACTATCTTGATTCTGTCTCAGCAATCGACTTAACAAGCCATTTTTTGAAAAAGAAAAATCTTCATGTGAAAGAGGCTCAGGTTTCAAGTCCTCAGACGCCGGAGAGGCACCTGTGTTTCTCTGCACTGAACAAGCTATTCCTTGAAATGTGTTACCCTTACTCTCTCTTATTGGCTGTGCATTTGGATTATGAGGAACATCTGATTCTTCACAAGGTTCAGTTTTTATTTTCACAGTCAATATTTGCTCACTCAAAGCCTTATCCGCCTGTTCTTGTGAGCTTTCATCTTTTAAAAGCATCCTCTCTTTCTTTTCACTTTTACCTTTATTGGGGGTTCCCAGAAGCAACTGAAGGACAGTGCGTCTTTCAAGGAGATTTTCTATTTCTGAACTAGGAAGTCCTTGTTCAGTGGGTGTAGGATGACAATTGAATATTTTGTTGTTTTCTTCAAATTTACCTGATACATTTGTGAGCAAAGGACTATTCAATCTATCAATCAACCCTATAGGTTTATCTGTATTTACTGTTAGCAGCTGTTTGCTCGTTCTTTGCTCTTCACCTGACATGGAAGTCTGCATTCCACATTGAGCTAAGTTCTGCAACAGCTTGCTGGCACTGAAAGCTGCAGAATTTTGTGCACTTTCATTTCTGTTCATTTTAGTTCCTTTAAGTTCTTTATTTTTTGTAAGATCTATCAAATGTTTAGATGCTGGATTCATTAACCTCTCTGGCTGGACGCTGCAAGCATATGGTGGAGAATTATGTTTGACTGTTAGAGAAGATTGGTGGGAGAGATTTATAGGAGAGTCTGCTTTTGTAGAAATAAGCAAAGGTGGAGTGCTTAATGGAGTTCTTCGATTTGCACTGGAACTTTCTGTCACAGGAGTCCTCTTACCAGTTTGTACAGTAAATGTTGCCACATCAGCTGTACTGTGTGGTCCCTGAGAGTCTGTATTTTTCTCTTTATCTTCACTCTTATGCCCAAGTAATAACTGAAGCAGTGTTACTTTCTGATGTGGATTCAGTTTAGAACCTTTAGTAGTGTCTTTATCTTCTTTATTCTCCATACTGTTGTTATCTAGACATGGAATTTTTGGATCCCAATTATGAAACAATGGCCGACTCAGATTATCTATAGAAGCAGGCTGTCCAGAATCTTGTTTGTCTGTCCTCTGTTTGAAAGATAAATCTATAGGAAGACAGTTAGAATGGGAACTTTCATCGTCACTGCTGTCATCTTCTGTAAAACTAGGATTGTTGTCTGAATACTCATCCACAGTAGTTGGTGTGCTACTGTCCTCAAAAATACCCGGCCTCTCATTCTGCTCATGCCCTTTTGTTTGTTTAGTTGCATTCTGACTTTTAAGAAGATGTAACAGCAAACTGTTGCTGGGAGATGGTTTTAAATGGTTTCTTTCCAACGTATTTTTGTATCCTACATTTTTGGGAGGAGAATGAACGATTCCAATGGGGCTCTGAAATGGTGCCATATTGCTCTGGCTAGTTATTGTTTTTGCTGATGATCTCATTTGACCATTAAAATGGCTTGGCATTCCTTTTGACAGACTGAAATGGCCAGGGTCTTTCTGGGCACTTTCTTGTAATCTCGCCATAGCAGCAAGTCTCTCGCTTGCTACCTGATTTGCATTTTGTGCTTTTAAAGCATGTTCCCTGGAATACTGCTGCAAATGAGCTTCACTTGAAAGAAGTAAAGCTAGCTGACTACAAGCTACGCTGGGTTTAGGAGAAGCAGTAGGACTAGATCTTTTCTCTACCATGCTTGCAACTGCTTGTAATCTTGCAGCACATGACAGAGGCTCATTCATCACCTTGGGTCCATTCTGCCCTGTATGTGGAGATTCTATAAACCTCTCTTTAGGCAGGTTCGTTGTTACATCAGGCAGAGTGGTGTCCAGCTTTTGATCTTTTGCTTTTCTTTTCTTCAGCAGAGTCTTCAAGCGACTAGTTGCAACACCATAGCACCTTACATCTTTCTCCACTTGTAAAGAATCATGGCTGAGGGAATACCCTTGCTCCTTGAGGCTCTGCCTAATCTGTTGTGACAGAGCAACACTCTGCAGCCTAGAGCTGAACGACTGAAGCAAAGAGGCAAGTAGTGTGCTATCCTGTTTGCCTTTAGGCACATTTTCAACCATGCCAGCTAACAAAGCTTCTTTTTTTCCATTCAAATCCACAATGGAATCAGACAACCGCCTTCTCTTTGCTGCATTCCAGTCTTCAGAAGACTGTAATAGTCTTGCTTTTTTGAGATGCAACATGCCAGATCCCTGATATGTATGTGTGTTAAGAACTGGACCATTACTTTGACAGTTGGGAAATATATTTCCAGAAATCTTAAAGTTTTGATCCTCTCCACTATGCCCAGTAGGCTTTTTGTCAACTGCAGTACCTGAGCCTCCCGCTGCCTGATGCATTAGTAATCCCTCTAGGTAAGTTAGAACAACAGAATCCTGGTGCATCTCAGAGCCAGGCTCTTCTCCATGAGTCATGTTCAATAAAAATATCCACAAAGGCTCTGCTTCTATTCACTTTAAAGACTAGAGTTTGGTGTGGCTGAATTGAGATGCAAGGTTAATAAATAATAGGTAGAAGTCTATAATTTTTTCACATAATCTGAACTAAAACAAATGTTACGTTCCATGCAGGCTTCTTCCAGCATATATTGCTTAAGAGCCAAATTTTCAGTCATATCAGTCTCTGTAGATATATAAAATATTTATGAAAGATGTCTAGAAGAATTACTTAGAACATGGTTCCAATGTAATGAAGTTCTACTAAACATTCATCTTCTTCACCTTTGTCCAGGACAGCAGCTTGTTTTTCATCCTTTTTCACCTCCATCATGCATGTCAAATTCCTAGAGCAAAGATAAATAAAAATGATCAGGAAAGATACAAGGGAGAGATCTAGAACATAAGACACACTCAAATGGCACAGGACATTTAAAAAAAAAAAGTAAGGTCCCATTTCCTAGATCATTGCAGGTAACTAGCAACACATGTAATAAATAGCCAAATTAAATAAAAAACTAAAAAGTATATAAAGCCTACACCTAAAATAAAGCAAATCCCTGAAATTACCCTAGAGAATGAAAATGTAGAGGAAACACAAACCCTCATGTGCCCAGGTATTAGACAGGGTCATGAATACACCTCTAAGTATGCACTCTATGGCACAAAACAAAAAAAGTAGCACAAAGGAAAATCCCAATGTATTTCAAAACTTCACAGTTTAAAAAAATTAAGTTGGCATATATTTCATAGTTCTATTATTTTTAGCAAATAAAGCTAACACAGAATATCCTGCACACCGTCAAATTAGGACATAAAACTAACTCTTAATGAGGATCAGTGGCAGAAGAAGGAAGCCTTAACCTTAACAGCCTTCATTTTGAATCTATATTGGATTTTTTGTTTGTTTTTGTTTTTAAATAGGTAGCTTCATTTTTTACATGTTTGCCCGGCAGACAGATGACACACTGGAGATTTAAAAGTAAAAAAAATAAAATAAAATAATCGCTGTCATCCCAGACCAGGTGCCAATTAAATATCCTTTCCCTCCTTTCCCTGATGCTAAATAGTCTGCCTCAGTCTTTCATTAACATCCATCATATACTTAAATATCCATGTGGCCAATTCTCTGCCTCCCTCCAACTAGCAGAAATCTGAGCTGTGGCTCCCAAACTTTACTGGTTCAAGTACCATCTTCTTAAAAAAAATATTGTTAAATAAAGAGACGAAACATCAAGCTCACGTACCACAGTTTGAGAAGCCTGATCATGAGGTGCATATCACCCCTCCCATTATCAATGGGCACAACACAACAGATCCCTGCATTGCACTGAATACTGATAACTACACTCTTCTCAATACCTCCCCTCACTGCTCCCAACTAGCAGCAGTCACACTGGAGGTGGAATAGAAAAGCGGCTGGGGTCAAGTTCTGCATGCATGGATATTTGGAGGCATTTTACTTTTATATTAATTTCCAGGGAAGTGTCCCTTGATTTCTCAGCTTGATTTGAATATGTAGAGAAGCCTATTTGATTCTTTCATCAGTGAAAGTAGAAGATCATAAAATTCTTCTCTGGAAATCCCAGCAACGGCACTTGCACTGGAATCAGGGGAGACATTTTCAGTAACCTCTTAGGTCTACCGTTCTTAACTGTATTAGTCTGGTCACCAAGGGAATGGCTACTGTATGGACAATGCAACAGTTGGGATCACTGCACAGGCCTGATTATTCTCTCAAGTTATACCAGCGTACAACTCAAATGCTCAACAAATGCAAGTCAACTGTTGTAAGCGGAAGACTGATCAGGCTCTATGACTTCCTATAAATGCAGTGTGAATTCAAGTTTAAAGAACGAGGTTTGCTGTTGATTACACTGTGACCAGAATTACACCCAAGAGATACAGACATAGGTTAAAGGGACACCACAGTTCTAGAAATGTCAGTAGAACAGTTAAAAATGCATACTTTTTGTAACCTATATACTCAGGCTGTGCAAATCCTCAGTTTTCATATTTCAAGCAGTATAATGAATCCCTACAAATCTGTCATAAAAAAATTACACACCAGCATTTTTAGAATATCATCAAGTCTAAAGTCATCTAAAGATTACTGAAGTCTCAGCTTTGCTCTCAGAGATACAGACACACACTACCCATACTTTATAACAGATCTAACTACAGTTGTTTCTACGTTTAGTCAAGGATATGAACAAGACCTAAAGAAGGTTTCAGAGTAGCAGCCGTGTTAGTCTATATTCGCAAAAAGAAAAGGAGTACTAAATAAGTATGCTACGTTTGTATTCATCTAACTAAATGCTGTTTACTATGTTACAGCTTCTCCCAAACAATGAGCCCCGGGGCAGACTCTTGCCAAATATCACCTCAGTGTGAATTAAAATCAGCAGTCCCTGAAAATCAGGGTTCCTAATGGGAACATCAAGTAGTTGGCAAATGCAATGCTAATAAACTAAGGCTGTGTAATAGATGTGCTGAGTCAGGAGCCGACTCAGAACCCTGTCACTCAAATTCCCATCAATATAAAACTAACTGGGACCTAATTAGAGGATCAGTTAAAAGCGAAGATACAGCTGAAGGGCTAATTAGAGGGGGAAGCAACCCCAGCATGATAAACAAGGAGGAAGGAAGCCCTGAAAGGAGGAGGCGCTGAGAGCCTGAAGGAAGGTAGAGTTGGCTGCAGCTAAGACTGTTCCCTTTCCCAGAAGCAAGTGGAGGAGCTGGCTAGGACTTGTAAATATGCAAATAGCACTACAGGCGGTGGCCTGCTGGAACAGTATAATAAAGCATGGTGGTGGTGAAGACTACCTAGAGGGGGTGTGGTTTGCACTTAAGGCAAGAAAGGACTCACAGTGGATCACCCTGTGGGAAGCTAATTTCTTCAAATATTTGGGTATGCTGTGTATTCAGGGAGAAAAAATGGTTTACTCCTGCTGTGTTTGCACATTTCAGAAGAGAATCAGGAGTCCACAGAAGACTCTGAAGGCAGCATTTGGCCTAAGAGGATTCTTTTTAGAAATAATTTTACTTCTTTTACAACTAGAAAAATTGTACTCATCCTTGAATGGTTTAAACACACAAGTCCAACTATTCCTAAAGACTTATGATAATCCAAGTTAGCCCTGCTTTGGTATTTCAGGACAAATGACCTGAACAGTGTAAAACTTAAGGTATTATTAGAAAAGGAGGAATCCAGATTTTGTTTGCCTTGGAAAGGTTCTATGATGAATGAATGAATGAAATGTCATTGCCAAAATCAAGCGAGTGAAAGTTGAGGATGTTTTTGTTAATTGTTAACATTTTGGAGAAAGGCCTTTGTTAAAATTTCTGCATTCCCCCCAGCCCCCAAATAAAGGTATCAGAATTTACAATAAGCATATTCTAATCTGTTTAAGAGGACCTTAAGCAAAACCAGAGAAAACAAGACTACACGTTCTTGATATTTTTGAGATGAAAAAACAAAAACCCCATACACAAATGGGGGGATGGGGGGAGGAAACCCAAATATTTTTAAACCTTCTTCAGATATCATACAAACTAATAAAGTGCAACACTGAAGAAATCCTTTGCAGGTAACTTTTAAATTAAATACTTTAGCTAATGTTTTATGCCAATTCTTGATTTAAATCAAATCTCTCCAGCTCTGAGTAACTGAACAAAGACATTGTATTTATGCAAATCCCTCAGGTGCATAAGAGCTCTGTGATAGTAGACAGTTTAGTTTACTCATAGAAACTGCACAAGAAGTGATTTTTTTTAAAATTACTCACAGCAGGAGAAATTGATAATTTAGAGAAACTGATACATTGATCAAAGTGGCCATTTGCTAAAGATTAAATCTGAAAAAAATACACAGAAGTATGAGGAATGAGGACTTCACCAGCTCTTTTAATAAGGCAATTAATTGGGGCAAGTGAAGAAACAGTTATTATGTAATATTGTACATCACTGTGTATGTTTTTATAACAGATAAAATGTGCTGAGCTAATCTGTCAAGAGAGTTAAGCTGGGTCTCGAAGTCAGGTGCAGAGGATGAAATACACTTTTCATATTTCTGATGGGAAGCAGAGTAGCTAGTTGCCTTTTTTGGGTCTGGATCTAAAAGGTATTTGTCTCCAAACTGCAGATTTCAAAGGCCTCTTTGTCTCACGTATTTTTGTTCCACTCTGCTCAATACTATGGCTATGTGGAAATTGAGATCAGGTTTAGATTTAATACACAAAGGTAGATCAGCAGCATTGATACACACATCGGAGATATGGGTTGAGAGATTTACAAAGTTCTTTTAAAGTTCATAATTATATATAAAGTTATTAATACACAGTATTACAGAAGCTTCGTACAGCAGCAAAGAGAAAGGCAGGATTGTAAGAGGTAAAGGTAGAAAACAATAAAGAAACCTTCAGGAATGTGTTTATCCTTGAACAAACCAGTAACCTTACTGAAATGGATCCTTAACATATATGCACCTCTAGAGTTAGATACTGTAGTTAAATATTATGACAAACTAATGGATAAATTAAGCAAATATTCAGATAAGCAGACCAATTGTATTGTCTCTGAACTAAAAATATAATACTTTCCATTGCAACAAGATCCAAAAGATTAATTCACTATCTCTTGGGTATAATGCCATTATCCACATTATTTTTTATGAATATGATGTGCACCTCTATTTGATTACTATCATGCTATCGGCTACAGGGGTGAAAAGGGTTAACTCAGTTCTGAGTAGTTTTTGCATATCTGCAGAAACCAAATCAAGGGCTGTAGATAGCCCAATCACCTGTGCTTAACAAACAGAACAGGTGTCAATTACTTTGACCTCTTAACCCCACTATGCTCTGGTCAACAGGTTGGCTAGTAACCCAAGGAAAGGGGTGGGGTGGAAAGAGAAATCCAAGTGGGGAAAACGAAACAAAGGGGGGAGGGGGGGAGAGAGGAGAGGGGTGTTAAAAGTCTTAGCCCTGAAGCTGAAAAGGGAGAGGCTGCAGAAAAGCAGAGGGAATCCCAGTCCTCAGAAGCAGGGAGGAAGGTCCATGGGAGTAGCTAAGCCTGTCTAAATCTTGAAGGGAATGGTAAACTTTAGATAGGACTAAAGTTTAAAAGCAATGGGTAAACCTACTTGGATCTGCTAAGGAAAAACTGTTGGTAAACAGAGGTGCTGTAAGTTGAAGCAGCAGTATACAAGAGGGGTGAATTGTAGGATTCCACTCTGAGAAGAGGAGGTGCTGGGACTGTCACTTGAAAAGTGTGCCTAGGGGAGACTGGTTGGTGGGGACAAAGGTACACCTACCCTGAACCATAGCAATAACTTTCAGGTGTCAAC